GGGCGGCAGGGGGGCGGTGCTTCGGCTGTTGACTCCGCCCCTTCCCCCTCTCCCCACAGAAAATCGGCTTCTTTAACCAGCAATACGCCGACCAGCTGAACATGCAGGAGACAGCGACCGAGTACCTGCAGCGCAACTTCAACCTGCCCTACCAGGACGCCCGCAAGTGCCTGGGGCGCTTCGGCCTCGAGAGCCACGCCCACACCATCCAGATCTGCAAGCTGTCGGGTGAGGGGGGGGGGCCGTGGAGGGAGGGGCCAGGGAAGGGCTGGGGCCTAGGGTTGTGGATGCAGAGTGAGGGGCAGCCCTTGGGGTAGTAGGAGGGGCAGGTTTTGGGGAGGTGGGGGGTGTGGGCAGGGCGCTCCGGAGCTTAGCTTGGGGGAGGGGAGGCAGGGGAGGGCACCTTGTAGCTGTGGTTGGGAGCGGAGAAAGGGCTTGGCTGACCAAGATGCGGAATGATTCAGACAAGTGGGGAGCGGGCTCCCCTGCCTCACTCTCCCCACTCCCTTCCAGGGGGCCAGAAGGCTCGCGTGGTCTTTGCCGAGCTGGCCTGCAGGGAACCCGACGTCCTTATCCTGGTGAGTGTTGCTGGGCAGGGAGAGGACAGGGCCGCGGAGGGCAGCTGGCTCTAATGGGGAGTAGGGTTCAGTGGTTGGAGGGGGCTGGGAGCCAGCACTCCTGGGCTCTTTCTGGGATCTGGGAGGGCAGCAATGGAGCCTAGTGGTTAGGACGAGGCGCTGGGAGCCAGCATTCTTGGATTCTCTCTGGATCTGGGAGGGGAGTGAGGTGTAGTGGTTAGAGCAGGAGCAGGACTTGTGGGTTCTTTCTGGGAGGGGAGTGGGGTCCAGTGGTTAGAGCAGGAGCAGGACTCCAGGAGTGAGGTGTAGTGGTTAGAGCAAGAGCAGGACTTGTGGGTTCTTTCTGGGAGGGGAGTGGGGTCCAGTGGTTAGAGCAGGAGCAGGACTCCTGGGTTCTCTCTGGGATCTGCCCCTTTGCCGGCTCAGCCCGTTGTCTCTTTCCCCAGGACGAACCCACCAACAATCTGGACATCGAGTCCATTGACGCCCTGGCCGACGCCATCAATGAGTACAAGGGGGGTGAGTGACACCGGCGGGCGCTTGGACCGGTCCGGAAGGGCCCATCGATGGGGAGGCAATTCTGGGCTGGAACATCCCATTGGGCTGGGAGGGGAGGGAATTCTGGGCCAGAAGGACCCATTGGGAATTCCAGACAGGAAGAGTCAATTAATCGGGATGGGGGGGATTCCAGGCTGGAATGGTCCATTGGGCTGGGAGGGGAGGGAATTCTGGGCCAGAAGGGTCCATTGATTGAGATGGGGGGATTCCAGGCTGGAATGGTCCATTGGGCTGGGAGGGGAGGGAATTCTGGGCCAGAAGGGTCCATTGATTGAGATGGGGGGATTCCAGGCTGGAATGGTCCATTGGGGTGGGAGGGGAGGGAATTCTGGGCCGGATGAGCCCATTGGTCAGGTGATTGCGTTACGGGGGAGGGCATTTCAGGCTGCCACTGCTCATTGGTCTGGTCCAATGGTGGGGGAGGGAATTTTAGGCTGGATGGGTCCATTGATTTGTTCCGACGGGGGGAGGTGGGTTCTGAGGGCAGGGGGTGGTCCACTGGGGTGGGAGGAGGGATAAAACTGAGTTTCACCACGGCTGCAAGAGGGCCTGCCCAAATTACCCAGCATGCATTTTCCTGGGCAAGACCATCTACAGACGGCAGGGAGGGGACACGTGTGTCTCCTCCCCCCACTTCTTCTGGAGAAGGGGGCTCCCGCTGCTCGCCTAACTTTGCCCTCCCCCTGCAGCCGTCATTGTCGTGAGCCACGATGCCCGGCTGATCACGGAGACCAATTGCCAGTTGTGGGTGGTGGAGGAGCAGAGCGTCGAGCAGATCGACGGCGACTTCGACGACTACAAGCGCGAGGTGCTGGAGGCCCTGGGCGAAGTCATCATCAACCGGCCTCGAGAGTGAGGCAGGAGGCGGGGCCTCCCCAAGCTCCTCCCACCCGATGGACTCACCAGTCACCCGCTCGCAGCAGGACTTGGGTGTAGAGAGATGGGGGTGGGTTCCTCTCCCCCCCCCCACTCCCTTTCTGGGGAGGGGCACCGATTATTTATAGGAGGGGGTGGGAGTTTGTATTGATTTGTATTGGAACGGTGTATTCTGGCCCAGGCAGGGGAGGGGTCTGTACCCCATTACTGGACTTTCTCATCCCCCCCAACTGCTCCAAGGGTGGGTTGAGCCTTGTTCTGCTTCCATTTGACAGGAGTCAATAAAAACAGGAAGGAAACAAGTGCCTGGTCATGGCTGTGGCTGTGAGGGGGGTGGGGATTCATCGTGACCAGAGAAGTGTGTTTGGGGGGGAGGTGATCTATTCAGCCCCTCACCCCTTCTTGCCTCTTGGGGCTACTTCAGCCTTCTGCCCATGTGGTTGGAAGGGGAGGGGCTATTTGCAATTGGGGCATCTGCCCTGTTGGAGGTTGGACTGAATCCCTACAACTTGACACACCTGTGTTAAAGGTGTTAACATGGCCCAGCCCTAGTCTGACTAACTGGTGTGGAAGATTTATCATACAGGGACCTTCCACTGAGGCTGATGTGTGAATGATAACCTGTGTTTCTTCACCAGAACTGTGTATTTGGATGTTTTCCCTGACACTCTGTTGTCAGCTATCACGATTCACTACATGGCAGTGAATGACGGCTAAGCGGTCATCAGTAGGTTTCAGAGTCAACAATCCCTGCTGTGAACAAATAGTGGGGGAGTGCTGCTTATTGCAAGCTCCTAAAGTCCCAGGAGCAACCACATTGTCAGCAATTGGTTTCTGACTTCCTGCCTGGCAACTTGGCTCTTCAAGCATCATGCAGCTGTCATGCTTGGGCCACAAGCGATCGCCTGCACCATTAGTAGGCTTAAGAGTTAACATGCTTCTGAGATGCTGGGAAGCAGAACCTAAACCTGGCAGCTGTGAAAGGAGTGACCAGGGGATAAGCAGGTGCACTATTTCACCAGGAGGGGTCAGCACACTCTGCCAGCCCTTCTACCCGGGTCTCCATGCTGCTGGGGGAGAAACATACAGAATGCTGCTGCCTGGGGGTAGAGAGTTAAACTGTACTCAGCAATTAGAGTAACTGATGCAGGAGGGGAATACTTATCAACCTGCCCCGCCCCAGTAATGGCTGCACTGAGCCCCCTTTTTAAAAGCAAACTTTAAAAAAACCACTGAATCTACTTGCCCCATTTCAGCGAGTAGATTTCAGCCGGTCGCTCTGAGCATCCCATTCACCGGCGCTTCGTGTGTGCCCAGTGCAGGGCTGGCGAGTGGCTTCCGAAGGGGTTTGTCAAGCCCTGGATATATCCATCCTGTGGCCTCATTGATGCCTAGTCCTCTGCCACTTGAGTTACAGGAGTAACTGATTGCAGTAGTAGTAGGTTGTCATCTGCGCTGGGGGTGGGTTTCTCAGCTGTTTGCTGGTAGAATAGTGAGCCTCAGGATTTCCTCTTCATTCCAGGCCTGGAAGGGAGCCTCTTACTGGCACAGACTCCTTTGCCTTGTCTCCTCCCTCCCAACCCTTCAGTGTAACACCATTGGCCGCTGTTCCTGTCTCTTCTCCCTCCCCCCACTTCCTATGCCTGTTGCCTGCCACTCCCATTCTCCCTGGCCAATGTGCTCTCTCACTTCCTGTTATCTGCCAGACCCAGCTGCCTGGCCCTCCTCTCCCTTGTCAAGTGTCTCCAGCTGCACATGGGCCTCATGTCCACTCTGCATGGTAGTCAGGTTGCTGCTCCCTGGGCTTAGCCCTGCTGCGGTTGCAGGGAAACCTTGCTTAGCCCTCGGGCGGGAACATGCGCCCTCAATCTTTGGAGAAGATAGCTGCTAAAAACGAATGTGCCTCCAGCAGGGGCGGCCTGTCCATATAGGCCGGCTAGGCGGTCGCCTAGGGTGCCAAGTTAAATAGGGCACCAAATTCAAGCACTAGCGTTGAGGGGTTTGGAGGTGGGGGTGCCGATTGCATGGTTTGCCTAGGGTGCCAGCTGGTGGCAGCTAGTCTAGGGCACTTCCTGGCCTCCAGTGAGCATGTGCAAACCACTTCCCCGCCAAAGATTTAATGTGCCCAAGGGTAGGCCCAGTTTCCCACAGGGTGGCTAAAAGCACATCCTCCTGGATCCACAAGGCTACACCCTTGCCCAATTTTAAATCCCTGCTCCGAACCATGGGAGAAACCCGAGCTGCTCACAGAAAGGGTCACTGGACTGTTTTAGCCTGAGTTCAATCAGGTATTTTCCCCATCTCTCGTTCTCAGAAACAGCTGCAATTTACCTCAATATTCAACCTGAGACAGACACCCAGGCTGTGTCTACACTGGTCACTGATTCTGGAAAATCAGCCACTTTTCTGGAATAATTTGCCAGCTGTCTACACTGGCCGCTTGATTTTCCAGAAAAGCACTGATGATCTAATGTAAAATCATCAGTGCTTTTCCGGAAAAACTATGCTGCTCCCGTTTGGGCAAAAGTCTTTTTCTGGAAAACTGTTCCAGAAAAGGACCAGTGTAGACAGCACAGTCGTGTTTTCCACAAAAAAGCTCCAATCGCGAAAATGACGATCAGGGCTTTCTTGCGGAAAGCCACAGCTAGATTGGCCATGGATGCTTTTCCTCAAAAAGTGCTTTTGCTGAAAAGCATCCTGCCAATCTAGATGCGCTTTTCTGAAAACTTTTAACGGAAAACTTTTCCGTTAAAAGCATTTCTGGAAAATCATGCCAGCATAGACGTAGCCGAACTGTTTTGCATAAGAGTTCTTGCGCAAGAGCGTGTCCACACTGGTGGGACACTTTTGCACAAAGACCTCCCCGCCCCGAACCACTTCGGACTGGGAAAAAGGGCATCAGGACCTTGCGGAGGCTCGAATCGCGCTGAGACACGTGCTTGAAGGGATCTCCCTGGACAACCATTTCTCTGCTGCTGCGTGCTTTGGGGCCTTTGGTAGGGACTGAAAGCTGGAGCTGTGCCTGGCGTGGTTGCCCTGAGCCTCTTTGGACACCACAGCTTGTGTCTTAGTGCAGTGGCAGCTAATCCACCGCTCACGAGACACATGTGGCTCGTGAAAAAAAAAATTGCAGCTCCTGACGGAACCGGGACGGAACCCAGAACCGCTCAGGTCAGCTGCTCTCACGGCTGAGCCACTGTGAGCCACAGGCGTGCTCCCAGCCCCCAGCACACTCACAGCGTCCCACCCTG